TTAACTCAATGAAACCTAAAGCAGTTCACAAACAAGTTAACCGTTTTAACTGTTTTAATGATTGCACTTCTAGAAAGAGGCACTGTTAAAACCAAATTACATCTTCAGATGTAAATTGAAGGCCTGCTTTTAGCTGAGCTATAGTTCAGCTTCTAAAGATTGTTCATGTTTAGATATCACTTCTTTTAGCATTACTATAAGTTGTGTAAAGCATTACTGTAGTAGAACTAGGAAAGAAAAAAGTGGTTTATAAAAAAAATGCATAGTTGGAAAGGAGTATTCATTTTATGTATAGCTTTCAAATCATTACCCTTACAATCTGAAAATAAAACTGCACAGAAGATCTTTTCTAATCTTTGGAGTGTTCAGCTGTTCTGGGGTTTTTGGTGTGGGATGTGTTGTTTTTTAATCATGTAAGGATTACCTGGTGTTCATAATGCTGGCTTTCCAGTATATATGAATGGTTATGCAGATGAGTCCTGCCAAATCTTTTGGGGTCATTATAAAACCATACTTCTCTGCTGGAAGTTGCCATTTGCTTGGCTGAGTCAGCAGAAGAGCTGGATGTCTGCTCCTCAGTCGCTCCGTCAGTGCTGCTTGTGATCTTGTACCATAGCATGAGGCCACGTCAGCCACCAGACTGAAAGTCTCAAGTGGGCAATGGAGTAGCTGAGGCACAGACACATCCTGATCTGCTGCCTTCCTGGAAGGAGAGCAGCCCCTGGCCGGGGAAGCAGCTCCTTGTCTTTGGCGGTGACTGCCTCAGCACTTGACCGGGTTAATCTGTCTGTTTCTCCTAGGTCTAAGCAAGCAGCAGATATAGTGCACAGTCTGCATGTGCTAGAGGATCTCTATAACAAAGCACTGCTTATATCAATTACTATTTATTTGAGCTAAAAGCTTCACTTTAAAAGCAGATTAGGTAATGCTTGTATTATGTGTTTATACAAGCTGTCATAAAGGAAACTACTATGTTGTATTTAATTTTCTTTCACATGAAAATTAGAAAATGCTCATGTTTTCTGAAGTAAGAAGCTTGTGCAATATGGTAAAAATAAAGGTTGTACTGAGTAGTAGAGCAGTCTATGTTGTCTCTTTTAGGACTGATTGGTTGTTAATCTTGTATAGTTATAATGGCTCAAAAATGCACTTCACAGTACCTGGGACCTTTCAACTAGAGAGAGGCATAGCAAATGAAATATTGAAAATTAGTGATACTCCCTCCTCTGCATGCCTGCATACACACAGACAGACTTTTTGAGAATTTTTCCTATTTAGGCTTTCCTAAAAATGCTGTTCCAGAAATAATTATTCTGCTTCTGTTGGGATCACTTTAGAAAAAGGAGAAAATCCATTTCAGTGTTGAAAGTTGCTAGATATTAATTGATAGCTGTGTAGGTAACCCAACAAAAGACTTTTTAACTCTCCTGCTTGCTGATAATGTAGGTGTAGGTTAGCAACCAATTACTTTGCTGATATATTCTGAAGAAACTGTCTCTGATGAGCTAGCTCGATTAATTACCAGTTCAGTTATTACATTTTTATGATACTTTATATTAGCCAGATTTCTTTTAGGAATCACTCTAATGTTTTTAAGCAATCTGAAACAGGGTACATCTTAAAGCTAGATCTGTGGATACATTTGTGCAGCATGAAAGGAGTAACTTGTTTTAAACACATCTTGTTTCTGGAAGTACGAGCACAGGTTCCCAATGTGGCATCCAATGAGAAGGAAGTCCCTTTATTAGATACCCAGGAACTAGCACAGCAGAGTATGGACAGGTGACTGGATACTTAACAGCTGAGATTAAAAAAAAAATCTGTTAAAATGGCCATAAAGAAAGACTGAATATGGGAAACTAATTCTGGATTGCTGGAAAGTGTAAGCTGTGATCTGACCTCTGTAGTGCTGTGAATGCTCTTATGTTTTGGACAGTTGTGAAGATCTTCGCTTCAAATTTTCTGGATGTTTGGCTTGATTATTTTGTTTCTGGTCAATTAAATCCTACTCTCTCCTTTGGATGTTGCCACTCAGATTTTCTCTTTGCATGCTTTTGGCTTACTGTAAACTTGAATAATCTTAAAACAAATTTTTCTAGACAAAATTATTTGGTTTAAAAATTCTATTTCCAAAATGAGCTGTTCTATGTATCATATTAATGTTGAGGCTGGGTTTGAATAGGACGCTGCAGTTACTGTGAAGTGCTGCTAACACTTAAAAATAGTTACCTTCATCTGACCTTAAGACATTTCTCAGTTCTGGTTGCTTTCATGTAAAATTCTCTTTCCATTCTTACTCTTTGACATTTTTCCCAGAGAATAAGTATTTTTCCCCCCCTCTCTAGCTCTCCTACTACTTTTTTGCTGTCCACAGATTGTGGCATGCTTTGTATTCCCCTCTGCATTGGGATGTTTGGTAGACTGAAATGCCTGCAGTTATCTGGCTGTGGGTAATATTTTTTTTTAACTTACTGTGTGTTTGTTATTAAAGATTCCTGCATTTTTGGCATGTTTTCAAGGTTTTGCTATTCTTTTTATTGTTTTTATTTCTTTTAATAAACCGAGTAAAGTAGGTTTTATTTTAATAAACTTTCACACTCTACCCTGTACATGGTAGATTTCTGCCTATCTTGCCTCCGGTATCATGGCTCACTTAGTATTTCTTGTTTCTAAACCACCTAGTTTTCAAATCAGAAAGATTCCCTGGCTTGCAGTATTTCAGTATAGGATAGTAAGCACTGTGACAGATACAGTGCCTTCTGAGTTGTTTGAACATTCATGTCTCTACAATGAAATGTGGTTTCCTTATGCTCTTCTGTGGACACAATTTAAAGTTTTTTCTTAGGCAAAGAAAGATTTTATGGTTTTGATACTGATACAAACAGTGAAAAGACTTCTCGTGGTCAACAGGAGGAGTTACTCATCCAGGCTCATTAAGTTATGATTGTTCTATAAATTGGAAGCAATATCAACTATTGAGGAGATACATTTACTTTTCTTCAGATTGTTTTGGGCCTTGGAATACTTCACAGCTGGATGCCATGTAGTAACATAGGTTTTTGTTACTAATAATATTGGTCATTGGTTTGTTCTAGTGGCTAGATAGGGACATGAAGATCTGAAATCAATGTATTACATGTTACACAGTACAGGTTCGTCAACTATGATTGACCAGCTCTCTCTAATTTAGTAAATTAGTGTTTAAAAAGCAGACTTTAATGAAGCCTGCTGATGTTGCACTCCCAATCTAGAGGAGATGCACCAATATCTTCCTGTTACTGTGATTTATGCTCTCAAAAAACAATGAGAGCTTAGTGCTAGTGGCTTGTCCCACTTGACTTACCTATTTCAGAGCTCTGCTGTCACTGAGTACAGATGTGCCATTTGCTAAGAAATGGAGTTCTACTAATGTGCTGTAGGGGAGAGACTGTAATGGGAAAGTGTTCTGCCAGTCATCATCGAAAGAACTTTCAGTAGCTGGTTATAAACTGCTGATAATGCCTTAACTAGATACGTGCAGTGGTTGGAAAGCCTAGATATTAGGCAGGTCTTGAGCTTTCTCTTGATATTCATGCTCAAACACAAGCTGTTTTAATTATTATTTTAGCTGTATCTGTTGGGAAAGTTGTTAGTGTGGAAGAACAGCATTCAAATACACTGCTTTCTCAAGTACTTTCTATTAACACGTTTAATGAAGCACTCTAATATCCCTTCAGGTTTACTGTCATTACTGAAAGCTGAAATGTTAACTGTAGCAACAGGAAAGGATTCTACAAGACTGTGAAAAAGCTTATTTATTTATTTTTAGATTGAGCCATTTAATTAAAATACATTGTGGAGTTGTCTGTAGAACAGAGGTCACTGATAGTTAATGTAACTTCTGTATGTGTATTTGTTTATGGTCTTTTAAAGTAAGTATCTTTTGCTTTTAATATGTATCCCTTTTGTGAATGGTAGACATTCTTCAGAAATTACCTAATTGGATTCTGCTTTAGATTGACAGTGAAGAATTGTTGTGGTTTGAGGCACAATTATTGTTGAACTTGTCACTGGTTTAAAAAAGTTAACCAGTGTGCTGCCCTTATCCTCTTGAATATTGATACTCAGATGTGAGCAATGACCTAAAATTGTCAGTTGGAAAGAATGCCATTCTTAATTAGAAATAAAGTGAAAACCTTAGAGTGTTGTGGGAACACAAGTGAAATAAAATGCTTGATTAAAGTCTCATTGTCTGTATAATACGATGATCAATAGTTTTTCAAGGCGATAAATTTAGGTTGTATGTCCAGTATCCAAGATGTAAGAAGTTTATCAAATTTCCTGCAGAGTTGCTGGAATAAAACATTAGTGTAGTGTTCAGCTGTAGCTTGGCAAGTTTTTCTCTGCTCCCTTTGGAATTTCCTATTTATAAAAAACAACCAACCAACCAAATAACAACCAAACCTTAAATTCATACTCAAACTCTCTCATAGCATTACAACCTCTATTAAGCTGTTTATTAATCTTTAATTCCAGATTCTATTTGCCATGAAGTTGCTACTTCATCCAGTTGCCTCCACAAATCTGTGGAATCACTTGCTAAAGCTGCTTGGAATCCTTACAAGTAGTACAAACCACTATGGGTGGCTTTTTAATGAAGTGAACTTCAAAGTCGGTTGCATTAAAGTTTAACATTTTAATGATAATTTACTCTTACGAGTTCATTTTTAAGATATATGAAGAAACCAAATTTATTACTTTGGTTAAGTACCTTAATATAGTTTTATATGTTAGTGAAGAGTGCCTCATTCTCGTGAATGTTCTCCTAAAGGGGAAATGTTTTGGTAACTTCTGTTTCTAACTGTTCATTTGGAACTCCTAACAATATAAATTTCTGTAATGAGCCATGCATGTTCTTATTTTGTTGATAGAGATTAATGGCTCGGTAGCTGTACACTGAAATAGGATTAGGGATATCATGGCTTTTTGTTTTTTTGAGTATTTCACATTTTCAATTTTAGTTCCCAACTGGACAGTCTCGTGTCCCATGGCAGTTCAGGCCAGTCCCTGTTACCATACGTAGTCCTGCCTATGGTCCAGTACAGGCTTTTGATCTCATCATGAGCTGTTTAAAGGAGCTAAATGGTACAGACCCCTTAGCTGGATATCCTTTTAGCTGGTTGTATTCCCTGGTTTCCATGGTGTTGGAGCAAAGAGTAAGTGCAATCTGGAGGGAAGGAGAGACAAAACCATGATGTTTTGATGTACCATCTCCTGGATCTGTCTCCTTAGCACTTCAAGTTAACCATCAGTCCTCTTTATTCCTAAGTAAGAAAGGCTCGTTGTGTTGTGTGACTTTTTTATATACCCAATTCTTGTCTCCTGTCTTTTGTGCTATTCCTTTTGGGTAGTAATCTGAACAGCAACAACAAAAACTGTCAGGAATCCCTCCCAGTTCTTTTACTGCTCCTGACACTATTGATTGGTTGATGCCTGTGAAATCACTGACACATCCCTGCTACCTCACAGCTTTTTTATTAATAATGGTGCATTTCATTCCATAGCCTGTCTCTAGCTTTTGTTGGTCATCTCTTTTTTGTGATGCACCTTCCCTCATGTCTGCCAGACACAGAAATGGAGCTATGGTGAAAGTTCTGGTACCTACAGGGTAGGTTTATATCCATCTGATCTTGCAAAAAACTCTTTAAAATTATTCAATCTTCCTAGTATTTAATCCCAAGAACTTGAATTCCTTCTTCAATCCTTCTGTTTTGCTACCTTATTTCATAAAATATATTTTTAATTCTCCTAATTATCATAGGAGTTCTCCTTCATGACCTTTTTCTCTCTCCGGTCAGTAGGTTTCTTGACTTTATTCCTGAACTTCTTAATGAATTTTTTATAATGCTTATGTGTTCATACTGAAAATACCTTTCCAGATGGTAATGTGATTTGAAGATGCCTTTTCACACCCCCTTTCTATTGATTGTCTTAAAATTGAGCTATGCACTCTCTTGTATCTTCTTTCCAATGGTAAGTCTGCAGATTGTTGTAGCAGCTCTAGTAATTAGTCTCCTAAGTGAACTTAGAAGTGAAAAAATATTTAATAAGATGATTTAAGTCCATTGTGTCATCTAATGCTTCCTGTATTATAATTAGATGCATCTTGTGGTCTAAATGTAAGGAACCTTCTATTATATTCTTTTTTCTGAACTATATTCTTTAATGAGGACAGAGGGTTAATGCCTTGGTTACTCAAGTTGATAAAGATTGGACTTCTCTGCTCTCTCTTTTCAGATTTCATAGCTGTGATGCACAATGTAGAGCTTAAAATGTCTCTGATAGATTTTCAGTTAATTGTTTTCATTTTTGTTTCCTCACATCATGGCACTTACCAGCTTTATTAGTTAGGTAGAAATATACTTGCCTGCAGTAAGAATTTTATGCTAGGGACTGACTTTCAGTACCTTCCAAGAGAAAGTTCTAAGGTTACTTTTCTCTTTGTGTCCCCGAAAGACAGAAACATAACCGTATTTTTCTTCCCTCTATTTATTGCAAGACCCTGTTCTGTTTCTATACCTGTCAGCTCTATGTTGGAGGGTTTGGTCACTCTTTTCATT